GGACTCATAACATGAATAGTGAAAAGTGGGTGTCACATTGTACAGTGGCATTGAGACAAAAGGCATTTTATTTTTTTATGGAATAGGAGGCAAACGAGCAGACGGATCACGGTGAGCGATCAGCGCCGCCCATGGACACCCGCAACACCAAAGGAGTCACAGGTGCGTTGCCGGTTATGTAATGTGATTAAATGTATGGAGTGTGCTGTGCTGTTTCACTACTGAGAAAAATAACGGATTTTTTTCTTATGTTAGTATTACCTAACATCATCTACATATTATTGTTCCCGAAAAAAAAAACGTATGACGTCATAACATGACGTCTGTGCTCCTCTAGAAATATTATATACGCAGTATGTACAGTTTGACTAATAACATGCCGTCTCTGTGCAATAATAGTACATTTCTTTCGCCAGTGCCATTGACTTCGAAGCTGTGAGTGTCAGACGTAATTAGTCGAGAATAAGTTAATCTAGTCTAGTACTTTAGTTGATAGTAAATGACATGTGTGGTTACCTCAGAAAAAATAATTTACCGATTAAAGTTCTATCTTACTGCCTCGTTGGCCGAGTGGTCGCAATTGCGACTGCCGAGCAAGGGGTCTCGGGTTCGATTCCCGGGTCGGGCAAAGTATTACTGGGTTTTAAAAAATTCTCAGTAGTAGCACGGAGTCTGGAACTGTGCCCGGTATATGGCAATAGGCTCACCCCCTATTACATGGGACTCATTACATAAATAGTGAAAAGTGGCTCTTACATTGTACAGTGGTATAATGTGCACCTCTGCCTACCCCTTTGAGGATAAAAGGCGTGATGTTATGTTATGTTAAAGTTCTATCTTCTACTGGCAGGTAGCTGATGTACTAAGTAGTAACATGGACTACTTTTATTTAGGAAAATTAAAACAAAAAAGTTATCACCCCAAACTCATATTCCACGCGGACGAAGTCGCAGGCAACAGCAAGTTATGCAATATATTAATATGTAAACCTTTTTGGTGCGTGTATGAATTTCAAAATATATTTCCTGGATCAGATAACGTGTTGTTATGTTTTAACGTTTTTAATTATGTTTTTCGCTTATTCTATATTTACATATAACACCACGCCTTTTATCCCCGAAGTGCAGATTACGGCCTTTAATGCCACTGTACAATGTAACACCCACTTTTCACTATTTATGTTTTGAGTCCCATGTCCCATGTAATAGGGGGCTGAGCCTATTGCCATATACCGGGCACCATTCCAGACTTCGTGCTACTACTAAGATTTTTATCCTTTGTTTTCCCGCTTCGAATTTTGCTTCACTGCTATAAATTATGGAATAAAATATTATAATAGTTATTTATTGAGGTTTTTATATTTTAAAGAGCGAGTGTGCATTTGTGCCTACAGTTTAGCGGAAAGCAAATAAAACTTCATACGTAAGTACATACATATATGCACCTTTGTCTATCTCTTCGGATATAAAAAACGTAATGATATTTTATTTATTTATTTTAAAAGACTTCATGCACACACTAATGTACAAGGTGGGCTTAATGCCTAGGGCATTCTCCTCCAGCCAGACCTTTGGGTGATGCAGAGACAAAAACAATGGTCGATGCAAGAAGCAAGCGTATTTAGGACTCTAGGACATATATGACATAACAATAAACTTACACAATTATATTACATATACTACTTAGACGTAACATAATTATACATAGTATATTGATAGTTACGACCATTACGACTCTCTCAATCTCTTCAAAAGTAGCTCCCGAACCTTTCGCTTGAATGACAAACGACTGGCCACCATCCTGATATCGGGAGGGAGCGCATTCCACAGAAGAATAGACTGAACAAAAAAGGAGGAATGAAGAAATTTAGTACCTACGATGTGTTGGACATTGGAGGAGGCGATTATAAGAAGAGCGAAGATATTTGCTGTGGTTTGCGCATGTATATTGGAAGTGAAAGGATAGATAAGGAGGATTTTATGGCAATCGGATGAAAAAACAGGAAGGAAGGTGTAAAATAAAATGTAGATATAATATAAGAAACTTCTCAGTGATCCCATAAACTTGTTTAATGGTGGGTGTGTGCGTTTGTTTAGTATTAAAATAGATCGCAGATGGCATGCCAAACGCCCACCGATGTCGGCAGTTTGCAGTCGAGATTTTGTAAATATATCTCGTTTTCAGGATTATTACTGGAAACAACCGGTTTTGTTATTACCGCATCGTTTATATATAATGCTTACAAGGTTATCGAAGTTATACGTATACTGATTAAGAATTAGGTATAATTACCTCAAGATGGCAATTGTTTTATACGGTTAATAGGGTAGACGACTAATTTTTATTTTAATGTCCGTCTGGTAGATTATTTTACATCATTATACACGTATTTTTTCTTTTCTTACGGAAACGATTACTTTCGACCATACATTGATTTGAAATGTCGCGTGGCGTCACTTCTATGTACATTTTATACGTAGAAATGTCGTTTCAGCCCCCACTCCTAAACTTTGATTCGTTATATCTAAGTATCATTTTATTATACAACAAAATAAAAAAATACGTGTCTAATATTTTTTTATTACCTAACTGATGGACTAATATGATTTTTAATTTTCATACCCTGTCATCATCCCTATTATTATGTTTTCGACTTACACATGTAACTGTTTGTAACTCGACCAGTTTCAAGCCATGCTAGAGGCTCATATTAACAACAGGATAAAATTCCACATTGAGGTAGTTCTTGTACAAATATTCGTACGTGATGCACTTACGAATGCATACATACGTATGCAACTAAATATTCAATGACTTGCAACTTCGTCATACGAGGTAAATCCCAAATTAATGGTTTGACACATAAAATACGTACTTACCTAACTAAAATAAGGAAAACGAAAATGTAACCATAAATGTAATACAACTACAACTAAAAGTAAAATTATCCTGTTATTGAAATAAGTACCTACTTTATCACCTAAGTTTGTAAATATACATAACATAATATTACATTAAGCCTTTTTATCCCCGAAGGGGCATGCAGAGGTGCACATAACGGCACTTAATGCCACTGTAGCGCAACGTGTAGCGGACTAGCGGGTTCAATTCCCGCATGGAGCAACTCTTTGACTGATCCACAAATTGTCTGGATATCATGTGAATGTGAAATTGCATTTTTGCAAACGCACCCACGACAGAGGATAAAATCTTAATTCAGTTTCCCAGAACTTTATTCCCATTATCATTCTCAAATGCCATTATGTCCTAGTTAACTACTTAACATAAATCGATCCAAAAATCAAAACCTCCCTTTATTATTAGTTTCCCTTCAAATATTCCCTTTGTGTTTCCTCTGAGACCACAATGAGCACAGCTATACACATGCTAACGAGCCCATGACCTTCACAAGGTTACCGGGTGACCGTGTGAGATGGGGGCCAACCCACGCCGTCTACCCAACTATAGTACAGTAGTCTACACTTGAGATTTCTTTCAAATTGAGTATTAAAATAGAATATTACTTGATTCCCCATCTTTTAAAAGTGTCTTGTCAGTTATAAATTGTGTAATGCTTTCTATATTGTTCCTTTATGACGTCATATTGTATTTTCATTTAAAATTTTATGTTGATCAATAAGCTCACCCTCTATTGCATGGGTCTCGTATCATAACACTTTAAAAAATGGGTCTTAAATTAAATATAAGTACATCCTCGCTTTGGAGATCGTAATTTTTATTTAGTCAGGATTATAAGACATTCCGCAGTTATAAATATGTTTTGTGAAACGCCACACAAGAGTTTAGATTCTGGAATTGACTAAATATGGTATGATAAAAGTAGCGCATTAACTCATCAACGAAACGAATATGACATGACAACTATTGACTATATACCATTTAAAAAAAACCCGGAACACGTAACAAAAAGCAGGACTCTTCGTCATGAGCTGTGACTTGAAGCTAATAGAGCTTTACTCAGCTATTTACATGAATAAATCGGTGTTTTCAATTAATTTTAGAGTAGTATGTCCCACGATAGATAGGTATACAAAAAAAACCAAACCACTTCAGATGAACTATACGAAAAGCTGCATGCAGATGATACACTTTCTTCATGACTAATAAAATTAACAATGATGACGTTAATGGCAATGATAAAAATGACCACAGTAACGCAGCCAATGACTTATCCACAGGTGGAAGTTCCAGTGATGTTACAAATAGTTAGAATTTCAAAACAGGAAAGATCGGTTTATTCCCGTCTTAGCCACGAATATAAATCTGCAACGTTGTAAGACAAGTGCTACTTAACATATTGATGCACTTATGCTGCCTTTAGCAACGTCGGAAGATTTTACGAATTTATTTTAAGACCGAGGAAAATGGCCGGTTAATAAACGTATTCAAATGGAATTTAAAAGATACGATCTTTAGTCGTAATTTCAACAGAACGAAATCTTTATTGGAAAGTTATCTCCATTTACTTACTGATGGTACCTATTTCCGTACAATACAAGTCCTATCATCATATTAGACAACTGGTCGAGCTGGAAGTCTTTGGATTTGGAAGGCAGGCTTTCAGCATTGTGCTTTCTTACGACTGATAATAACGATAATACCGGTCCACAGCAACCCATCCATTACCCCACATTTTTTTCCAATATCTACACTAGTTCTACACTAAGCGGGGACTGTCCTTGGATGCATACAGGGTTAGTCGCCGGTTTGTGTGTCCATTAAATTTAGATTAAAGTTGTCTAAAGGGTCTCTAAGCAGTTGGCTTCGGCCCCTCGTACGCCTCCCAAATGACCGGGACCCTGTGGTCCGTGAATGGTCAAGACACACATACTAATAATAATAATTATACCGCATATCTAAATGTCCCTAATGTCTACTATAACGAAAGCATGTTTCTGGAGAATAAACATAAATTAAGAAAAAAAACTAGCGACCATCACAGTCCATAAGAATATTACTTATTTGGTTATCCCACTTACTTTGCGTGGTATCCAAGAGGAAGTCAGCGGGTTGTCCTAAAGAGTTGACTAAGCCTGAGTAGTTTGCTGGTAAGCCCGAGCCTGTTACATTGGCTGTGGAGTTCGATGCCGTGCCATTGACTATCGTGACGTTCTTGAACGGTTCCAGTTGAGGTAGGGCTGGTGAAGTCCATGCTAGGATGGTTCCTCCAGCGACCGCGGCTATTGCAGCTGTAGACAAATAAGCCATGTTAAGAGTTTTGGATTTGTAATGTGACAGGCAAACTGATTGTACTATAAGTCCGGAAAGAAACATTATCATCATGACGAATCAACAAATTAAATTAAGCCTTAAAGTCACCATGGAATGTAAGAAATTGGACAACGTATTCCACCTCCAAAATACTCCTTCGGAAAGAGGAACGAGCTGGTAAAGACTTATTGATCGTGGTATTCAGATAGGGTTCTTAAACCATATTTTAAACACAGAGACCTTTCAAAAAGGTTCTCAACTAATACACTTATTCCTTTTACCAGTGGCGCCTCTGTACAGAGCCAAGAGCTACCGACCTAAAATGTAAGTACTTCATCCGTAGCCAATACAATATTAATAGACTCGTCAATGTAACGTTTATTTTCGTTTATGACTACAGCTAATGATCTATGATCGACATTGCTTGTTTAGTATTTTCTTATTAAACTGTTTTAATGACTAACTCCTCAATGAGGGCTACCGTTTCTTTGCTCACCGCATGGAGCTAGAGTGAACCTCACGTCTTTTCGTCCAATAGGGATTTAGCTGTAGTCATCCCATTGGTCATTCAATTTTTGACAGCTACAGTGATTGGACAAACGTACTTTTTGCTAAATTAGTGCCATCTGGTGTTTGAAATAACACCCTTTAATAATAGGAAAGCTGTACTTATTACTATACTCAAGTAATGGTCTGGAGTTCCTTGAGTCGAGAAATATATTATTGGGAGATATCGGTGCTTGAAAATAATTAGTAACAAATAGGATAACTCCTATTGTATGGGGCTTAAAGGCCTACCCCTAAGGTGTATAAAACATGGCTCAGTCGAGTATTACCGTAACTCAATGAAAAGCTTTTTATTGCGAATGGTCGGGATGTCAACGACAGATAATTTTATTGATTGTCGAGAATGAAATGTTATGTTTACGATTCCTGATCTTATTGAAGAAGATATGATAGAAGTATGACAAAATTTCCTACCTGCAACAGCAGCTATATACTGATTAGCTTTTCTAGTCTGTCCCCCTTTCTCCTGGACATCCAACATATGCATAGTAGGTTTATCCATCTTGATCAGCTATAGGGTTTGCATCCTGAAACAAAAAAATACTATAGTTACTATTAGGTGTATATTAGTTAACCTCATTTTCCCTAACCATTCTCCCAACAGGATTAAGACCAGAAGTCTAACGGATTCGACTATTATTTGAATGAATCATATTAGAAAAAATCCTCAGTATTTTTTGGTTGACGCTGAAGTTGAATTCGTGACACTTTGCAACACCTGACCAGCCACTCTCGTAATATTGAAAATCTTCAAAAATGATACTGCAGAGCATATGTCTGGGTATCGCTTACTGTGTTAATCGCAATTCTTTTACAAATACAATTTTTTTCGGGAATTTTCGAAAGTTACTTTTATTATATTTCACTGAACATTGTAAAATTTCTAACACACACACGTCTGTATAACTCAAGTTATCTAATAACAGAATAGTCGTATACACTTAACGCTGCCTTGTTTACAAACAGGAATCATTAAATCAAGAGGCAATAAATATATTAAAGTAAATAATTACAATATAGTCGGCACTTTGTGACTAACTTATGTATTGGCAAATGCCTTACCCATAAGTGGGGTGTCTATTGGTATCGTGTTTAAAGAATGTTTATGGATATTTTCTTTTTTTATTTCTAAGTATTTACTTATTTTGGTGTTTTTATCCACACGGATACGCCAACCCCATCGTACCCTCTTAGTTTTAATGACACTACCTTAAGTAATAATATAACTAAATTATGAATATTTTCGAAATAGTAAGTTAGGTACTACTGAGTCTATGACGGTACCGTAATAGCGTACATAAGATATTATAACATTTATTAAGGCAATTTAAAGGTGCAAACAGGGTATGAAAAAGGAATATCCATTCAGTCCGACAGATTTGATGTAATAATTATTTTAGGGTACGATAGAAAATATCTATTAAGCCGTTCCGATAGATATAAAAAGTATAAACACGTATATTTCTATCATAATACAAACGTAAATCACCATGTTTACAAAAACTAGGCCTAAATTCGCCAACACATTAATAAATTCTAATAACATTCGCTTACTAGAAACAGGTGTCTTAAGAATATATTAATCATAAAGATTTAAAATAAATACTGTAATTAAAAATTAAATATATGTACGACATATATAATGTTAATGATTAAATCACCTATTACAATACACATATTTACATATACCTATAACGAAAAAAAAAAAAAAAATTAAATCTGCGATACATAGGTAATCTAAATAAAATTAGCGTCCTCCTCTCTTCTACATTGCCGTGCCCTACAGGGTCCATACTGTACTATATTATTATGTAACACCTTATAAACATATGGAGTGCAATAAACGTATTGAGTATTGAGTATTGAGTACTATATACATATTATTATGTAAACATATAAACAAACACAAAAGTTTACGATCAAAAATTAACATTTTCTTTACATTTGGGTCGAAATTAACATTACAAGTCACATTGGTATTTAATTAAGATTATCTGTGGAGTTAGCGTATACGTCTTGCCCTTGGTTTGACCGCAGTGGCCCGTGCTAATATAGGCTTAATTGTGCTAATTTGTTCAACAAATAACCGGTCGCTAGTTACTTCTGTTAAAATAGAAATCGTCTTTATTGAGGTACCTTTGTATATAACTCTTCCGTTATTGGTAGTTATCAACCTCTCCCAAATTTTAAGGAACACTTAAGCTAAGACAGGTGTCTTAAGAACATTTTAGATTTTATCAACCTATATGTGACACCTAACAGTACAAGTAAGGGGTTTGTTTATGTGCTCCGTCACACTAAAAAAAGAGACGGAACTCTGAGTTTTTTTCGGCATTTTTTCTCAGAGTAGTCCGTTAGGAAAGTTGTCCTCATCGTTCGTTAAAAAAATTGACGTGCCTTGTAGCTTATTGCAGAAATATATTCACTTGTAAGGTTGTTATTGTTGATCGAAGCTTGTAAGTAACTTTTAGATAAGAGATGGTCGAGGTTGGGGGCCATTAGAGACTTATCCATAGCCCAATCTCAAAAAAAATATATGAAAACTTTTTGGTCTCATTGAAATAAGTGATTTCGACAAAGACTTTCAAGATTTAAGTAACCATTTTCTATTTACAGTTCAGAATAAGAACGAGACTTTTTGTCATTTAGTCTATTAATCATTATTAATTATAATCTTCTGTTTTGATAAGTATTTCAAAATGTAATTAGTTTACGATGATAAAGCTAATTTATTATCAACTGGTTACTGCCAGCGGATTCGCCCCCGTTCCCATGGGTTAAAAAGTGGCCCATGTTTTATTTCAGACCATAATCTACCCCTATTTCAAATTTCATCCTGATCCCTTCAGTCGTTTTGACGTGACATAGTAACAAACAAACAAACACATACACACACATACATACATCCCCACAAACTTTCCCATTTATAATATTAGTAGTAAAGAAGTAGTAATAGCATGTTATGAGATTTGTATGTTAATTACAAGCGTATATTACGTGTATTTACTGTTTAACTTACCTATAATATCGAGGTGTTTTAAATAGGCAGTCTATCATTAGCTAATTGTCCAGATGGGGTTAGCATATCAAAGATAAAAACCCCTTAAATAAAAAACAGATTAAAAAAAAAAGCTAATTGTAAGACAAAATTTGTAATTAAGTTATTTTATTTTGACCTTAGCTAAGTAGCTTACAAATATTACATTGTTCACAGAACCCGATGTATTTCTACCTCCGATCGGAAACCCATAAATCATGCAACAGCACGTCCTTCCAGAAAATTCCACGATAGGAACTGGAGCCGGTAAACAGCTGCATTGTAACAGGGGTCAAATCAAACGCATTGTATTGCGTTTATGCGTTAACGAAGTTCAATGGAGCGAACGAGGTAACCACCAGTCATGCTCATCATTAAAAATCCTGAACTGTTTTGTTTACTCATTATTTATACAAGTCCAAGGTTATGAGCTGGTTAAAAACAAATAATGTGTTATGAATTTTTTATAGAGTCTGTCGAAGTGTCAAGTCGAAAGTCACTTGATTCTTCCATTTTGTAACCCATATTTGATTCGATACAATGTCTATTAAAGATACAAGTACAAGGTCCTTGGTTTCATTAGCTGATCTTACATAGGATTTTTGATATGTCTAAAAAGTCATAACTTTCGTGAGACATACTAAATTAATTACTCGACGGCGACCGGCAGCGCGACAGTCGCCGCGTCGCGAAATGCTGCTCATGAACATGAGCCTTTAGCATGGCTTGAAACTAGTCGAGTTCCTCATCAAATGATAGGGTAGATACTTTATTTTAATTAAAATGTCCGTCTGGTAGATTATTTTAAATCATTAGACACGTATTTTTTATTTTCTTACAGAAACGAATACTTTCGACGGTATGTCGCGTGACGTCTATTTGAAATGACAAATACGTGATGATAAATACGTGATGTATATTTGAAATGTCGCGTGATGTCACTTGTATGTACATTTTAAACGTAGAAATGACGTTTTAGCCCCCACTCCTAAACTTTGATTCGTTATATCTAAGTAGGTATGATTTTATTATACAACAAAATAAAAAAATACGTGTCTAATATTTTTTCATTACCTAACTTACGGACTAATTATATTTTTAAGTTTCATACCCTGTCGTCATCCCAATTACGTGAGTAAGCCGTAAACATAATAATTAAACTAAAACGTTACTTGATTCTTCTTCTTTAAGTCTTTAGTCCAAAATGTTGCATGTCCTCTTTTCTCATTAATCCCTTATAGACTTCATTTCACAAACTGAGCAAATGAGAACTGATAACCTGATAATGATTAGTCCAACGTTAAGTTTGAAAGCGAAGAATCCCTTACTCTTCACTGAACTCGCTTCTTCCAGCAATACACAATACTACTAACATTGTAAAGCACAAGTCTAGCCGACGCACGATGAGTATTTCCTGTGTACTGAGCTATGTAGGATCAATGCTAACAAGACGGACAGACCGAGACACTGCAAATATTGGAGTAACCAACGGACAATGCACTAATAACCCTGAACGTGGTCACATAGACACTCATTTACCTACTGAACGGCATAAACGAGCAGACGGATCATCTGATGGTAAACAAGCGCCACCCATGGACACCTGAATCATTATCCTTCCTAATATTATAAATTGGAAAGTGAGTTTGTTTGTTTGTTTGTTCCGCTTTCACGCAGTAACGACTAAACCGATTGCTTTGAATTTTTTCAGACGTAAAGTTCGAAGTCCGGATAAATAATAGGGTACTTTTTATGAAAATTATGAAAGTCTGATTATTTTTTAATATTTTATTGTACTGAACAGTCGAAATAATTTATTTTTGATTAAGGAAAGTATCCAATTTCTGACATTCGTTCTGTCAAAAGCCTATCTTCATTTTAATAAACGATATAGGGACTATACACCATTTATATATTCTATTCTACAATCTCAGTAACACTGAGTATTGTATTTAGACGAACACAAAGCGTCTTTATTAAATAATGTCCCATTTTGAAAGGAAATTGTCACTTATCCATTTATACTGTTAACCTATTTGTTGAAGCCAAGTTATACAATGGAAGATCGTGCTGTGAATAAGATTCTTATTTTAGACTGCTGTATACGTATGTGGGTAGGTAGTTAGGTAGGTGTACGTACTACTTATGTAACTACCCACATAATAGTTATCTACTTTACTAATAATACCCGCAAGAATTTCTTCCAATGTGTTGAAAACTGTAAACGTTTTTGAGCATCTAATCAGCAGTTGTTCTAAACTTACTAATATAAAAAATAAACAAAATAATAAAGCCTTTTATTTCTTGCATTTGTTTTTGATTAGGTACAGTTTAAAACAATATGGATAAATAAAAATTAAAAGTATACTGTTTGCATCCTTGGTAAAAATAACAAAAACAGTGTTGTGCAAGAACCCCTCCTCATACAAAGGTGAAGGTCTCCTCTAAAGAATTCCAATTGTCTCTGTCTTGCTCTATATGCGGCCAGTTAGGTCCAGCTATTTCTAATATTTCTACTGCCCATCTGCCCCTAAAGTTACTAACAACATAACATCACGCCTTTTATCCCCGAAGGGGTAGGTGCACATTACGGCATTCACAATGTAACACCAACTTTTTACTATTTATATTATGAGATATGAGACCCATGTGATATGGGGTGAGCCTATTGTCAAAGTTACTAATACGTGGTACTATTAAAACTTCTAGCTATAGCCTTTACGGAATGATAGGCGTGATGATATATATGTATTATGTTACTTATGATAGAAGTCAAGATACTTAAGAATTATTATCGGAAATCCTAAGTAGTAATTAATGAGTAACAATTCAAATAGATACTATTGAATTAGAAGTGGTCATTTAATATATGAAGAGCTCCTTTACACACTGTAATGTATTCAGAATAAACCGTACGGAGGTATCACCTTCAAATAAGCTACAAATGATTCACGTCAATTATGCTTAAACTACTGAACGGATATTGAAGAAAAAAATGCAGGCAGGTTATGGGCTGACTTAGGTGATAGTAATACTTTTTATCCTGATTAAATGCTCCCACGGGACAAAACGGAATGGATATTCTACGCAAACGAAGCCGCGGGCAACAGCTAGTATATAATTAGTATTAGATTAGTCTGTAATGGTACTAGTTGTTAGCATTAAATGAATAATAAAAAATAATGATAAACTCACGTAGCCTAGCCGTAACTATTTGAAGATGTTCGAAAAGTTTCAAGTGAAACAACAGATGAGCAGTTAATAAGAGTCGGGCAATTTTACCTTAGTATGCTATGTTTACCATACCTATATATTCATGACACCTAGTTAATTTATTACTCTCATTTTTCTCCCTTTTTATCTTTTCATCAGTATTTTTTCAAATCTCGTTTATAATATACAAAATTTTATTCAGCCGCTCACGCCATGTCACCATTCCCTTCCCTTCCTGACTAACTAAAATAGCAGTAAGTACCTATAACCATTATCGAAAATATATTAACTCGTCGAGTACCGGTTTTATAGACACAATTAAAGAACAATAGGTCGCGGTCACCGGTGACCGCTTGGTGTTTGACAGTTTAATAAATGAAATCAATATCAGAATTATCAAACACGTGCCCATGCGTGCACATACTGGAGAGTAATGTTGAAACCACTACAACATAAGTTATAGTGATACAACTACATAATATTACGAATTGATTGTTCTAACCATTCTATACTTAATTACGCAGTTTTGTAAAAGGAGAAACTCACATAATTGTCTTCATGAAGAAGAAAACGATTCATTATAATTATGGTCTATCATCTCGACAATTTCAATAACCAATCGATTTCATGAGAAAAACTAGGTATATAAAAATATTAACTTCTTAATGAGATTACGAATACTTCAAAACATTTATTCATACAAAAGTAGTCTCTAAACATCAGAAATAAGGTCTATAATAGAATAAGATGATAGCGGTCACCGGTGACCGTTTGGGGACCGGGCTGCGTAAAAATCGATTTTGAATTGAGGTCGAGATGACAATAAAACAATTGTAGGTATTGTAATGCCTCTAAGGATGTGCCGTAACAGGCATTGCACTGTGGAGGCTCCGGAGCGGTTCTATTATGGGACTCGGTGCCCCTTACAAGTGCTGAGGGTGGCCAGCAGCACTCCGGTCCTTAAAAAAAATCCTACTATCTAGTCTTTTATCCCCAAAAAGCTAAGCGCATTTTGAAGGTTTTCCCTGTCATAAAAAGGCATTGTAGTCCTTTGTTGGCAGGTTATAAGTCAAGTTCAGAATCCAATAAATACTACATACCTCCATTATCGCACCCAATTAAACAATAATTATCTAATGATCCCTATCTAAGTGGAAAAGGCTTAAAGTAAATTTGCAGAAATCATTGTTAACGTGTGTTATAAAATTATAAAGGGGTTTCGGCGCCAAATGCGTTTACTTATCACGCAATTCATCTGATAAAACTATCATTTGTTATCTGTATAGCGTATCGAATGAAAGAAGCTTGCAATGAGTGGTTTAACCTTGGAATCTTTAGGGTAGGGAAACAATTATTGATACCAAAAGTACCGATTGAAATAGTAATTAATCGACTAATTGTTGGACAAGTAATTGAAAAATGGAAGGCTTGTTTTGAGAGGGGAATCGTGCAATGACTTCTCCTGCCCTGGGTAAGGCGAAAGAGAGAGTGTCAGACTCTTACTGACTAAAAACCACCTGGTTGTTACTCCTGGAGCTGGAGGTCTAGGTCTCCTGGAACAATAGATTAACTGGAATGCTGGAAGCCCATATGTTGAATAAGGGATCGCATATTCGAACTAGTAGTAAAAATATTCAATAGTTTAGAAATTGCAAGCTTGTATTTTGCCTGGTGCACAAGATGATTTAACTATAGTTACGTAAGTTCCTACAAGCCGTGAAATGATTGTCATGACTGAGAGAAATTAATTGTTTGAAAAGGAATAGCATCGCCATATTTTCAGTCTTATTACTATTACGGAAAATCGGTAAACATTTAAACAAAAACACACTTAGGTGGTGATTTAAATCTGTCAAACGATTTAGATAGGACTAGAGTGGGTAGCTTACTTCTAAACGTCGATAACTCTTGATATTCTCGAGATCTGATAATATACATAGTTGATAATACAAAATACATTATCTTTTTTTACCTGAAAGACCATACAGTACATGATAGATTATTAAAAGATAATATGTCTTAACAAAACAACTTACTGACATTTCCTGTCAAATGTTTCAGGGACAGATAAAATATTGCGTAGGGGGCGCTTACAGGTACCTGTATATATTACATAATATAGAATAGAATCCATAAGAAGATTGGGAGTTGCATTACATTAGTAGTAGGTAGGTAGGTACCATTAAGTACTTAATTAACATATCTTTAACCCAGCAGGAACTAGGTGCACTACAATCTGCATTAGATTTTCGACATTAAAACTAACCAATAAAGCAGTAAACCTAACAAAAAAAACCGGGTAGGTTGACCCGCTGTTGTCTCAACTAATTTCGTTATACGTAGCATCAGAAT